CACTGTCGTCTCATCTACAAAATCTGGGTCAATCAATTTCTTATTACCCACCTCTTCCCAACATATCGTTAACCTACAGAGTCAGCCATACAGTGGTTCATATGGAGCCTTGTCAATACTTGTTTGATAACTGTTATTGTAGGTAAACTCTATCAGGAGTAGGTGGTCATCCCAATGTTCTCCGAAATCTAAAACACAAGCCTTGAACATATCCTCCAGTGTGTAAATGATTCGTTTTGATTGTCCATCTGTTTGAGAGTAGAATATTATACTAAGAGATAGTTTCGTCCCCATTACTTACTGAAAACTTGTTCAAAACTGAAAGATGAATATGAGGTCCCTATCTAATACCATTGTCACAGAAACTCCATGTAGTCTGACTATCTCCTGAATATAGATTTTACCTAGCTTGTTGAAGGAGTAAGTCATTTTAATGGTCAGAAAATGAGAGAACTTATTGAGTCGGTCAATAATTACCCAGATTGCATGTTTTGGGTTCTACTTTTTGTGATACATCAAGGAAAAAAGACCTATGGTTTTTATCAATGTTATCATAAGATAAAAATTTATAAATATAGTTAAGAGTGGGTATGTTGGAACTGACTAGGGACTTTAGACCATACAAATAGTAGTCATGCAAATGAGATGGTTATTTCCTATTTATAGTAGATTTTCTTGGCAAAATGTTAGTATGAACAAGTTTTGAATGGTCATTTAAATCAAGAGTATTGTTTTCATGTATATGACTAGATGAAGAATCAAATGATGTATTAGTAGGAATATTAAATGATAAAGAGTGAGGTATAGTATCAGACCTAATTGTCTTTTGAGAGCTTTCATGATTTTCAGTACTTTGCAATTTAATAGGCCAAGTATTATCACTATAATATGTCATGGGATCATCTATATGAGGTCACAGAAAATCAATTGAAGAATTGTTATGTAAAGAAGCAAAAGGAAAGATATGCTTAATAAAATTAGCATATCGAGAAACAAAGAATTTTTAGGATTGCAAATCATACACTTGGTATTCTTTGATGCAAGAAGGATACCTAATGAAAACATATCTAATTGTTCGACTATCAAACTTTGATTTACCAGGGCCAAGATTAAGAATATAGCATAAATAGCCAAAGACTTTTAGATGCTAATATACTGGAAACTAATTGAATAAAAGCTCAAAAGGGGCTTTATTGTTTATGGTTGAAGATGGTATAAGGTTAATTAGATAAGTTGCATGCAATACACAGTTTACTTAGAATTTCATAATTAAATTGGCTTGGAAATTTAAGGACCTTATTACATTCATGATATGCTGGTGTTTCCTCTCTACCACACCATTTTGTTGTGGTGTGTATAGACGAGAATACTTATGTATATTTTTTTTTGCAGCAAAAAACTCAAGCATATTAAATTCCTTACCATTATCCATTTTAACATATTTAATCTTTGCATTAAATTGT